ATTATTCTCAAGGGTAGACTATATGCTAGGTCACAAAACAAGTCTTGTAAAATTCAAAAAAATTGAGATAATATCAAGTATCTTCTCTGACCACAATGGAATAAAAACTAGAAATCAATAAAAAGGGGAATTTTGAACACTCTACAAATATATGAAAACTAATTAAATAATATGCTCCTGAATATTTCTTACTCAATAAAGAAATTAAGAAATAAATGTAAAACTTTCTTGAAACAAAAGAAAATGAAAATACAACATACCCAAATCTATAGGATACAGTGAAAACAATATTAGGAGGAAAGCTGATAGGTATAAATGCCTACATAAAAAAGTAAAACATTTCTAATAAACCTAGCATTGCATTCTGAAGAGCTAAAAACACAAGAGCAAATCAAACCCAAAATTAAGAGAAGAAAATAAATAATAAAGACCAGAGCAGTAGTAAAAGAACTTGAAATTTAAAAAAATACAAAACTCAATGAAAAAAAATGCTGGTTTTTTGAAAAGATAAACAAAATCAACACACCTTTAGCCAGACCAATGAACAACAAAAGAGAGAGGACTCACATAAGTAAAATCAGAGATGAAAAAGGAGACATTACAACTGGTACTGCAGAAATTCAAAGGATCACTAGTGGCTACTCTGAGCAACTACACACCAATACTATAGCTAGAAGACAAAGATAACTTCTCAGACACATACAACATACCATGATTGAACCCTGAAAGAGTCCAAAACCTGAACAGACCAATAACAAGCAATGAGATCGAAGCTGTAACAAAAAGTCTCCCAAAAAAGAAACTTTGTACCAGGACTTAGTGGATTCACTGCTGAATACTTTTATTAAACATTTAATGAAGGATTAATACCAACCCTACTGTAACTATTTCAAAAAATAGAAGAGGAGGGAATATTCATTGTGTGAGGTCAGTACTACCCTGACACCAAAACCAGATAAAGACATTCAAAAAAAGAAACAAACAAACAAACAAACAAAAACTATAGGCTAGTACCTCTGTTGAATACTGATGCAAAAATACACGAAATACTAGCAAACCAAATTCCACAGCACATTAAAAAAAAAAATTATTCATCATAAGCAAATGGAATTTATCCCAGGTATGCAAGAATGGTTCAACATTAGTAAATCAACCAATATGATATATCACATCAGCAGAATGAAGAACAGAAATCATATAATCTTTGCAATTGATGCTGAAAAATCACTTGATAAAATTCAACATCCTTTCATGATAAAAACCCTAAACATGATGGGTATAGAAGGATCGTACCTTAACAAAATAAAAGCCATACATCGCAGACCCACAGCTGGCATCATACTGAACAAGGAAAAGCAGAAAGTCTTTCCTCTAAGATTAGGGAACAAGACAAGGATGCCCACTTTCACTCCTGTTATTCAACATAATCCTGGAAGTCCAAGCTAGAACAATCAGACAAGAGAAAGAAGGAAAGAGCATCCAAATTGGAATGGAAGAAGTAAAATCATCTTTGTTTGCAGATGATATGATTGCATATTTGAAAAACTTAAAGACTCAAAGAAAAAAAAAAGCCAACTCTTGGAACTGATAAACAAATTCAGTGAAGTTTCAGGATACAAAAATTAACATACAAAAATCAGTGGCATTCTCTATATAGCCAACAGTGAACAATCTGAAAAAGCAATTTTAAAAATCAATTTACAGTAGCAACAAATAAAATTTAATACCTAGGAATTACCTAAACCAAAGAAGGGAAAGAGCTCTACAAAAACAACAACAACAAAAAAAACTATAAAATATTGATTCAGTACATTGAAGAGGACACAAAAAAAATGGGAAAAGATTCCATGTTCATGAATTGGAGGAATCAATATTGTTAAAATGTCCATACTACCCAAAGCAATCTACAGATTCAATGCAATCTTTATCATAATACTAATGACATTCTTTACAGAAATAGAAAAAAATTCCTAAAACTTACATGAAACCACACACACACACACACACAACACACAAACACACACGAGAATAGCAAAAGCTATCCTGAGCAAAAAATTTAAAAACTGAGAGAATCACATTACCTGACTTCAAATTATACTGTAGAGATATAGTAACCAAAACAACATGGTAGTGGCATAAAAACAGATATGCAGACCACTGTATGAACAGAATAGAGAACCCAGAAATAAATTCATACCTCTACAGAGAATTCATTTTTGACAAAGTTTCCAAGAACATACATTGGGGAAAGGAGTCTCTTTGATAAATGGTGCTTGGAAAACTGGATATCCACATGCAGAAAAATGAAACTAGACCTCTATTTCTTGTCATGGACAAAAATAAAATCAAAATAGATTGAAGACTTAAATCTAAGACCTCAAAGTATGAAACTACTGAAATCTGGCAAAAGATCTGAAGAGGCATTTCTCAAAAGAAAACTTACAAATGGCAGACAGGTATATAAAAGGTGCTCATCATCACCGATCATCAGAGAAATGCAAATCAAAGCTATGATGGGATATCATGTCATTCTAGTTAAAATGGCTTTTATCCAAATGACAGGCAACTTCAAAGGCTGACGAGGATGTGAAGAAAGGGAAAACTTCAACACTGTTGATAGGAATGTGAATTAGTACAACTATGGAAAACAGTACGGAGGTTCCTCAAAAAACTAAAATAGAATGACCATATGATCCAGCAATCCCACAGTTAGGTATATCCAAAAGAAAGGAAATAGGTATATCAAAGAGATATTTGTACTCCTATGTTTACCACATCACTATTCACAATAGCCAAGATTTGGAAACAACCTATCCATCAACAGATGAATAGATAAAGAAAATATGGTATATAAACCCAGTGGAATATTATTCAGCCACAAAAAAGAATGAGATCCTGTCATTTGCAACAACGTTGATACAACTGGAAGATATTATGCTAAATGAAACAAAACAGGCACAGAAAGACAAGAGTCATATGTTCTCATTCGTGGGAGTTAAAAATTAAAGCAATTACACACACGGAGATAGAGAGTAGAATGATGCTTACCAGAGGCCAGGAAAGGGGGATGTGGGGAGTAGGGATGGTTGATGGGTACAAAAATATAGCCAGATAGAATGTTTAAGACCAAATGTTTGATAGCACAACACAGTGAACAATAAGCTAATGTACATTTTTAATTACCTAAAAGAGTATAATTGAATTGTTTGGAACACAAAGAAAGGATAAGTGTTTGTAATGGATACTTCATTTACTCTGATGTGATTATTTATCATTATATGCCTGTACTAAAATATCTCATGTGGCAGGCCATGGTGGCTCATGCCTGTAATCCTAGCACTTTGGGAGGCTGAGGCAGGCGGATTGCCTCAGCTCAGGAGACTGAGACCAGTCTGGGCATCATAGTGAAACACCATCTCTACTAAAATACAAAAAATTAGGTAGGCATGGTGGTGTGCACCTGTAGTCCCTGCTACTTCAGAGGCTGAGGCTGGAGAATTGCTTGAACCTGGGAGGCAGAAGTTGCAGTGAGCCAAGATCATGCCACTGCACTCCAGCCTGGGCGACAGAGCAAGACTCTGTCTCAAAAAAATAAAACAAATAAACAAATAAATTAAATAAAATATCTCATGTACCCCATCAATGTATATACCTACCACGTACCCACAAAACTTAAAATTAAAAATAATAATAGTAAAAGGCAACTCTCCTTCAACAGATAAAGTCTTGAGCCTGAAGCTAATTTGCCCTAACTAGATGAGAAATACTCTTCAAGCAACCCCCCAAGACCAGAGTGACTAAAGATATTAGATTAGGCAAAGCAGGAACCAGCACTAAAACTAGCAGTGAGATTAATCCTACAGAAACTTTATGGATTGATGCTAAGGAGCTGCCTGAGGGTACACCGAGCATCTTTTTAAAATATATCTACTGCTACTACTGTTACTGCTTATGGCTAACACTGAGTGTTGAGTGCACAGTATACACTGCAGTAGGGCTTTACATGCATCTTTCCATTTCATCCTTACATAATTCTATGAATCCCATATTCTCACTATTAGGGGCCCTGTTTTACATGTAAGAAAACAATCTAGAAAGTTAAAAATCTTTCCAATTTTTTCACAAAGGAAGTAAGTTATAGGGCCATGATTCAAACACAGTTTTATTTCTAAAGCTTATATTTTAAATTACTACTTAATATTCCCTGATTCACTGATGACTAAAAAAATACAATTTAGAAACTTTGGAAATATGACTACTTTTTGGCCTAATGTGGATAATGACAAGATGGAAAAGAAAAATATGAAATCTGGCATCATATTCAAATAATTTAACCAAAGGTCCTCATTAGTGCTGCTCTCAAAAGCTGAGCCTTGCTTTTATTTTCTAATGAAAAATGTTACTAGAAACATATATGCTAATTTTCCAATTAAGCTTAGCCCTGGAGCTAAAGTATTAACATTTTCCATAAATTATAAACTCTTAGAAGAAAACCAACACTATTTACTATGAATACATTATAAGTTAAAAATGGATGCTTACTGTTACTCAATCCTTACTGAAAGTATAACTAATAATCTGTTGATTCTGAAGAAAGACAATGTAATCCCAACAAAAAATAGCCCATGTCACATGTTTGCAAGCAGTAATTGCCAGGTGCGTGGGTTGACAGAATTCTGTATTTTCTTTCTTTCTTTAACTGGAAAAAATTCCAGTTCATTTAATAAATATATATGGGGTGAAAAAAGAAATAGGCAAAATGGATAATCCTTTTCTAGGTGCTATGCCCCCAATTTTTTTTAAAAAAGGAATGTTACAAAGGTCAAGCAAATCACGAGTATATGAGAAGAAAAAATTATGTAAATGATCTAAACTGAATATCTAACAATCTACTTGTTGAACAAGCCTCTATGATTTGGCCTTTGACTTTTCTCTATTTAGGCATCATTAACTTCAAACTATGATTCATTTGACATTAATAGTTAAGGTTCCTGTTTCTCTCTCTCTCTCTCTCTCTCTCTCTCTCTCTCTCTCTCGTCTTTCACTTTTCTGAGATACCACTCACTTGCTGTCCCAAGAAAGAGCTGTGAATATGCCTCAGCTTTCAGAACTTTCCATGAGAAAGTAACTTGATAAGGAAACTCAAATTCCAGAATGGGTAACTGCTTTGTACCTCTATTCCAGATATGCTTGTTTTAAAAAGTCTGTGTATCTTTTTAGGATGGAACAGAATTCTTTCAGTGAGAGATTAACTGTAAAAACCAGGAGGCTTCCCAGGAAGGTATCATGCCTAACCTTTACCTCTCCCTTACCACAGTATTTAGTACAGAAAGAAAACCATGGCACTATCAGCTCTTAAAACTACAGCACCATACCAACCTCAGTAGAGAAGGGGCACGAACAGTAAGATTCCTCTAGTAAATTTTACACACTTCAGTAGAATAGAAACAGACTACTCAAAAGCGAACGAGTCGCTGAACTGGAAAGTGTGTAGGCTCATACTCAGGACATTTATTATAAATCCCATTAAGTCCAGAGAGCCAGTGAATTATTGCCAAAATTAAACTGTATGATGCCTCTATCAACTGATTCAACAAGACTTCGGCAGATGTCTGAACATTGGAATTACAGTTTTCAGTGCTATGAGAGATATTAATCTATATTAGATATGATCCCTAACCCCAATGAATTTGCATCTGATAGGATACAAAAAGCATTAAGAATAAATTCTAATAAAAGAAAGGAAATACAGAGATAAATGTCCCATCAACGGATAAAATGTGGAAGTTATTTGGGGCTGTAGAAATTGGGAAAATATTTACTGGGTCCTAAATGATGAGAGAAATTTGGATATCTATAATGGTGGGGAAGTAAAAGAAATTAGAGGAGGGAATAACAACTACTTTCTCCTATCACCTACCTTGTGGACATCAAATAGTCTTCTCCTCAGAGTTATCAATAGTGGCCCTTTCATTCTGCTTCCTCAGAAGTCACCACCCCCAACTCATGTTTCTCAGTAACTCCTGATGCAGCTTTTCAATATAAAATCAGTATCATCATCTCACAGTCTTGACATTGTCTGCTCACACTGAGGCAACACATTAAAGGAGAAATTCTAAATGGCGCAAAGGACATGCATCAATCAAGCAGTCTCTTCGATTTTTGTTATTGGTGTTATCACTGTAATAAAGCCATCACAAACAAGGTGGTAGGCTGCCCTGGTTCTCAAAAAATTATACTTTTTATATTATGTTGAAACACTATAGTATGGCACATCCTTAATTGCAACAGCAAATAGGAGAAGCACTATCGATTAAAGAAATGAATATTAAACTAGAAGCTGCTTTTTCTTAACCTACCTCACTATGCTGAGTGACCTCATTCTAGTCACTTAATGTCTCTGTTTCCCAGGCGTACCTTTGGTCACTCAGCAATAATATCAGAGTTATTGCAAGGCTCAAATGTGACAGTTTATGTGAAAGCACATGGGAAAATATAAGACACATTCCAATGGAAAGGTTTCATTACACATAAGGCCAAGAGCAGTATGGTATTATGAAAAGCTCATGGTTTTTGAAGTTAAGACCTAGATTTCAACTCTAGTTCCATTACTTACCAGAATGGGCTTATTTAAGTCAAGCACCTCACTAAGCCTCAGCTCTTCATCAATATCTACTAGTTCTTTTCCATCCCTCCTCACAGAGTTGCTGTGATATTAAATACAAATCTAAAAGTCCTTAAGAAACAACAAAAACTTAAAGTACAGTGTATTATTTGCACTAGTACAGCCATTAATATTGTTACTATTACTTTCATGGTTACAGCTACTCCGATAATAACTTATAATATTACTTATTTATTAGAATATAGACTGACTAAAATAAGCATCTTTATCACTAATTCAGCTTCAAATACAATTGGTACAGGTTAAGGCCCTGTTCAAATAAAAAACTGTGTTCGTATAATTTGACTTTAGTTTATCCGTCAGTTAAAAAAATTCTCATTTAGTTCATAAACTACCTAATTCAGATTTGGGCAACAAATAGTCTAAGTTTATAAAAAGTAAACAAATCACAGCTGTAGTTAGAAAAAATAAACCTTTTAAAAACATTTTAACCAATATTAACCACTAAAATGCCAGTGATATGTGTGCTAAGCACATCAAACTATTCATTAAAAAAGGTCCAATGTTTTGCCTAGGTGTACGTTCTAGCCACTTTTCAAATTATACAAATTGCTTTTTTTTGAGGCAGGGTTTTGCTCTATTGCCCAGACTGGAGTTCAATGGCACAAACATGGCTTACTGCAGCTTTGATATCCTAAGCTGAAGCAATCCTCCCACCTCAGCCTCCCTTGTAGCCGGGAACACAGGTGCATGCTACCATCTCCAGCGAATTTCGAAAATTTTTGTAGAGACAGATTCTCACCTGTTGCCCAAGTTCAAACCGCATTATTTTTAAGCGCCATTTTCCTAGATGCAAATGTCAAGGCTCCAAAGTTATACAAAGCAGTAAGTTATATTTTCATTTCCCAAGTGCTGATATGCCAGATATTACACCCATACATTTCTTTTCCTTCATCATTTTCTTCTTCTGAGCTGGGGTAAGAAAATAGATGTAGTCAGAAGAGTGAGGGGGTGGGTTGGAGACAGAGCCACGGGTACATATTTATGGAGTTTGGCCTTCACTTCACTTGAATATTGGACACATAAAGAACTTGCCCCAAAAGAGGTGCAGTCATTGCCGTTGGTTTCTGGAAGGTAATTTGTGTTTGCCTGAGAGCCTTGGGCTAAATAGAGAATAACACTATGATTTAGGGTAGGGGCTTTGGGTCACACAATATCTGTGGAGTCAGAGGCTGGGACCAAGCACATGGGCAATGAATGAATCCTGCCTACATAACAGGGGCCAATGACATCTCTTGACATAGAGGCTCAGGTGAGCTTCCTGTTGGTGACACTCCATGTGTATTATCACATGTTGGTACTCGAAGAGTAACATGTCCTGACTCTAGGAAGATGACAATAGAAGCTCAGCATTTGGTACTTCTACTGAATCCTGCCTTAAGTATTTCTTCCCCTGACGGATTTTAATCTGTGCCTCTCCTGACAATAAACTGTAACCATGAGTAGAACCATGGTTTTCAGTGAGTCCTGTGAGTTCTTCTGGAAAGTTATCACTCCAAAGGTGATTCTGTGAGGCCACAAACGTGCAGTTGGTGCCAGAGTGAGGGTAGTCTTGAGGACTATGCCCTCTAACTTTGTAGTTGGCCTAAACCCCTTACAACAGCTAACTAATTATGATTATAAGAGCAAACCATAACAAAATAAGAACTGTATCTATTTCATCCACCTTTATATGCTCAGTACGCAGTCTGGTGCCTGAGATGTGGTAGAGTTTCAATCAATATGTATCAAACAAACTTTAGGTTTGCTGAGACTGCTTTGAGGACAAACCAGCATTTGTGCAGTGGTTTGTAAGACTACCAATTAAACTTTGATCAATGTAATCATAGCTAATTGTGCAACAATTGTATGGAATTTGTTCCATCTATACTTGAAATAGGCAATTCTTTAAAATTCAACAAGTCTTTATTGAGAATCTTCCTTTCCCAGGGAATGTGTTTAATGCTGTGGTTGGGAAAAATACGTGGCCCAGACGGCCCAGATAGCAAAGATGAATACAATGTAATTCGTGCCCACCAGCAAAATAAAAGTCAAGTGCTCCGGTATCACAGCAGAAGTAGCATCTAATTCTCACAGAGGATGGACAATGGAGACAGGCGACATATCAGGTAAGATTTGAGCTGAGCTTTAAGGAAAATTATGAGTTACACAGGTACAGAAGAGAAAAAGGCAAACATAACAGTATCAGTGATAGCACTTTAGTAAATATTGTTTTTATTCTTTACATATTTTATCACACATACCATTCTATCAAGTTACCTAAAATATTATATCACTAGTGTTCTAACTACAATTTGAAAATCTAGCTTTATAACTAATGTCATACCAAATGATGTTTATCTATATTTGTTTTATTTAAACAACTTTCAGTTCAAGCAACTCAAATATGAAAAGATGTGAGTAAATTTACAGAGGATAGTCGAGGACTTACTTGGTTTTTATCTTTTCTGTATAAAACGAAAATATACCTCTCCTTCCTCACTCCCAACCGAAATGGCTTTAAGCACTGTGAACATTTGAGAAAATGTCGGTGGTCTTACAAGTTTTTTTCAAAAACTTTTTTTTTTTTTTTTTTGAGACGGAGTCTCGCTCTGTCGCCCAGGCTGGAGTGCAGTGGCGCAATCTCAGCTCACTGCAAGCTCCGCCTCCCGGGTTCACTCTATTCTCCTGCCTCAGCCTCCCGAGTAGCTGGGACTACAGGTGCCCGCCACCGCGCCCGGCTAATTTTTTCTATTTTTAGTAGAGACGGGGTTTCACCATGGTCTCGATCTCCTGACCTTGTGATCCGCCTGCCTCGGCCTCCCAAAGTGCTGGGATTACAGGCATGAGCCACCGCGCCCGGCCTCAAAAACTTTTAAAACTCAAAAAGAATAAAACATTAAAGGATATTACATTTTAAATCAAAACTGGTTAAACAGCAAAATTTTTAAAAGGCACTGTCTATGTATAAGGTAAAATTTGTAGAAAAATCTGTTTCAACAGATTGTAACACAGAATGGTATTTCCTGAACTATCCAAGAAGGTGTTTCAGAAACATAAGTTTCCAACATGCTTAACCTTCTTTTGTTTGAGAAAGAGATGCCTTATAGAAATTTTTATTTACTCAATTTTTTTAAAGTTATTTAATACCATTAAAATTATCTTGGTCTTCCTTTCTAAAAGGCGCTGTGAGTTTAAATTTAATCAAGGAGTTGAAAAACATGTATACTGAAAACTACTAAACATTGTCAAAAGAAATCCCATGTTTATAAATCAGAAAACCTAATATTCTTCAAATGTCCATACTACAGGAAACAATCTATATATTCAATACAATTCCTATCAAAATCTCAATGTCATTTTTTGCGTTAATAGAAAACTCCATTCCAAAATTTATATAAAATCTCAAGGAACCTCAAATAGCCAAAACGATCTTAAGAAAAATAAATAAAGCTGTAGGTCTCACACTTTCTGACTTCAAAACATAGTAAAAAACTATGGTAATCGAACAGTATGATACTGGCACAAAGAGACACAAACACCAATGGAACACAATAGAGAGCCCAGAAATAAACCCTCTAATATGTGGTCAAATCATCTTCAACAAGATTACACAATGGAGAAGGGTTAGCCTCTCAACAGGTGGTGTTGGAAAAACTGTATATCCACATGCAAAAGAATGAAATGGGACCCTTACCTTATACCGCATGTAACATTAATTCAAAATGGATTACAAATCTATGCATAAGAGTAGACTGAGGCAGGAGAATCACTTGAACCCACGAGGTGGAGGCTGCAGTGAGCTGAGATCACCCACTGCACTCCAGCCTGGCAACAAAGCAAGACTCTATCTCAAAAAACAAAAAATAAAACAAAAACAACAAACAAACAAAAAACCTTCTAGAATAAAACATAGAAAAATCCTTCATGACATTGGATTTGGCAACTACATCTTGGATATGACACCAAAAGAATAAGCAGCAAAAGCAACAGTAGACAAATAGGACTACATGCAACTTTAAAACTTCTACGTGTCAACAGAAACAACTAACAGAGTGAGAAGGTAGCCTTCAGAATGGGAGAAAATATTTGCAAATCATATATCTGGTAAGGGCTTAATAGTCAGAATCTATAAAGAACTCCTACAACTCAATAACAACAACACAAAACAACTCAATTAAAAAGTAGGCAAAGGAATTGAATAGACAGGTCTCCAAAGAGGATTTATAAATGACTAACAGGTATGTTAAAAGATGCTCATTACTACTAGTTATTAAAGAAATGCAAATCAAAACAAAATGAGATATCATCTCACACCTGTTAGGATGGCTACTATCAAAAGAAACAAAAAGTATCAAGTCTTAGCAAGGATGTGAAGAAATTGGAACTTTGGTGCACTGTTGGTGGGAATGTAAAATGATGCTGCTGATAGGGAAAACAGTATGGTGTTTTCTCAAAACAAAACAAACAGAGTTACCATATAATCCAGCAAGATCTTGACAAGGTATTTGTACATCCATGTTCATTGCAGCAGTAATCTCATATCCAAGAGGTCAAAGTAACTTAAATGTCCATCAATAGATGAATAGATAAACAGAATGTGGAATGTACATAACATACATTAAAATATTTTAAACATTAAAAAGAAAGAAATCCTGTCATATTCTACAACATAGATGAATGTTGAGAACATTATGCTAAGTGAAATAAGCCAGTTACAAAAAGCACAAATACTGCATTATTCCACCTATATGAGATATCTAAAGTAGTCAAACTCTTTGTAACTGTAAGTAAAAAATGGTGTTTGCTAGGGGCTGGGGGAAGAGAGGAAAGAGAACTGTTGTTCAATTGGTATACAGAATTTTAGTTTTTCAGGACAGAAAAAAGTTTCTGTAGAAATTACCTACAAAGGAAAGAATATTAAACTGATGGCAACTTCTCCTAATGAACAATAGATACCAGAAACCAATGTAATATTATTTTCCAAATGCTGAGAAAAATATTGGTCTAGTCAGAATTTTATAACTACCTGAACTGCAATTCAAGAATGAAAGTGAAAGGAAGACATTTTCATGGATACCAAAAGCAAGTTCACCATCCACACACCCTCACACACAAAACAATCAAAGGTTTAGTTTAGAAGAAAAGTGAAATCAGAGACCAAATTTGATATACACACACAAACAAAAATTCTACGCATACAAATTATTCAAAACATTCATTAATTTAATAGTTATAAAATAACTAATTGTGCACATGATTTTATTTTAAAGTGCAACTAATCAAACCGGCAGCAAGAAAGGTTGTGGTCTTTACTAGCAAGAAAACACCATAACGTCCATAAGCTGCTGGAAAGGAAGACAGAAACACTCAAAAATATTGAGCAAAGTATGTCGTTATTTATACATGATTTTTAAAAATAAGACTAACCACTAAAGGAATAAAAATATAGTCTAGGGTTACAAACTTGCAGAAGAATTTAATAAAATAAAATCATGTGAATAAAACAACAGAATGTTTTTTAAGAAGAAAAGAGAAGCAAAAGGAAATTTAGAAAAATACAAATTACTATGGTAAAAACATATCCAGATACGTCAATAATCTCATCAAATACATATGGATTAAACTCACCTATTAAAACACAAAATTTCAGAGCAACTTTTAAAACTACAGCTCTGTGCTTTAGACCTAACAGTCACTCCATCTTTGACACTCTCTCCTCCTGCTTCCTGGTGAAGAAATAGAAATCAAAAGTAACAAGGGAATTAATTCCTAGCTTAAAAATAAATAGAAGCCAGGTAAATGACGTAAATGACACTAGAAAAATGATACTACTTGTGAATCTTTTGGGTTCTAAATGAGCTTATCTAGGTTCTCTTAGTTTGCCTCAGCCCTCTCCTCTCTCTCAATAAACTGCAGTTATGACCCTTATTGGTTGCCCAACTACAGTGTTGCCCACGACATAGAAAATTGCTTTTCAAAGAAATTCTAGCCTTAATGCATACCAGAAACACCTCAGGAAAGTCAAAGTTAACGGATGATTTTTAACTCACCAGGGGAAAGCATTGTGATTGTAAGTATGAGGCAAGTTTGATTTAAGTGGAGAGAAGAACCGAAAATCTAGATACCCCACTAGGTTTACAAAGGTAAACTCCATCACAAAAGAAACTGCCTCTTGTGGCTCAAGATCCCACCCCCTCTTAACCTCAGATCTAAGCCAGAAAGAGGGAAGGAATGCATCTCTGAAAAGCTTCAGAGGATGAAACCACAACCCAGCAATCCCTCCAAACTCCCTCCTTCCCTTATACAATTGTCTCCTGCTTACAATACTGTTGGCAAACTTTCTGTGTTTTTCTTTGTTATGGACCTTTGGGGATCAACTCTAGTCTAATAAACTGAACTCTACAGCTTCTGTGGAATTATAACCTGAATTATGACCTTTTAAATACACATAATACAGTCTACATTTAGCTGCTTATTTAATGACTGATTAAATCTTTAAAGTAAGACTAACTAGAAATATTCAAAATAACATCATCTTGTCTTTTTTCTTATTTTAATTCTTACATTTAAAATGGACTCACAATAACTGGACATTAAGAATTGTCAGAGCTGTGATACACTAAGAGAGCCCATTATTTTGACTGAAAATGTATTTAAGTGTTATTTTGAGCAGAAACTTTGAAAAAATGTGTATGTACACATATAGCATGTTAAGTGTATATTTTGATCTGAATATTTTCAGGAGTAAAATATTAACTTCAATAATTGTAATACAAATGACAGATGTATTACTAATAAGCAAGTATGATGTACCTGTTGGAGCCAAAGGAAAATTTTCCCTTCACCCTCTGTAGATTAAGTGAAAATCGATGGACAAAAGGCTGATTAACAGGAAAAAGAAATACAAATTTATTAACGTGCACTGGGGAGAATCACAGGGTGATCACCCCACCATGTGAAATGTGGTATACATGGTTATATACCCTTCTTTTTATTTATTTATTTATTTTTTATTTTTATATATGGAGTCTGGCTCTGTCACCCAGGCTGGAATGCAGTGGCGCGATCTTGGCTCACTGCAACCTCTGCCTCCCGGGTTCACACCATTCTCTTGCCTCAGCCTCCCGAGTACCTGGGACTATAGGCACCCGTCACCATGCCTGACTAATTTTTTGTATTTTTAGTAGAGACAGGGTTTCACCAAGTTAGCCAGGATGGTCTCGATCTCCTGATCTCGTGATCCACCCACCTCGGCCTCCCAAAATGCTGGGAATACAGGCGTGAGCTACCGCGCCTGGCCAATACCCTTCTTTTTAGAGGAAAGGGAGATGGGGAGGTGTGGACGATTTTATAGCGATAGCAAATGATTCTGGGGGGAGTTCAATGAACTTAAAGAACATACAATGAGCTGGGACGAAGTCTTTTGGATCTGCAGAGCAGACCGTGGTTTGTGACAAAACGCTGCCTAGGTGTATTGATGAACTTCAGTCTTCCTTCCTGTGATGTGAGTTCAGTTAATGAAAACTCTGGGAAGAGACCAAAGGTGATTGTTTCTTCTTTGGCAGGTCCGAGCTTAGGCAGATAAGGGCACTCCAGAGAACACCTTCATCCTGTGCTTTGGGAGACACAGGATTGAGCCACAGGAGGCAGAGGGAGTTCAGAGAGACTCTGAGGCGGCTGCTTCTGTACAGCGTGTAAAAACACCGTATTTGAGGGTATCAATTTCTGAGCTCCAATATACCAGAGATTTGTTTAATTGAACATTGGAAGAGCCTAATGAAAACTCGTCAATAACGAATTTAGAATCCAGCAGACATATGAGAACTTCCAAAATAACCTTGTGCTATTTACTGAGATCATAGAAAGTAAGGGTGGAAATCTGTAACCATGATTTTCAATGAATTTTTTTCATGAACTACAAATAGCCAACTCTCTTACAGGAAAGCGGAAATACACACACACACACACACACACACACACACACACACACACACCATTCAGTGCAGCCACATTCTCTCAACACATAAATAATAATAATAATAATAATAATATTATTATTATTATTTTGAGACGGGGTCTTGCTCTGTCGCCCAGGCTGGAGTGCAGTAGCGCGATCTTGGCTCACTGCAAGCTCTGCCTCCTGGGTTCATGTCATTCTCCTGCCTCAGCCTCCAGAGTAGCTGGGACTACAGGCGCCCGCACCTTGCCTGGCTAATTTTTTTGTATTTATAGTAGAGACGGGGTTTCACCGTGTTAGCCAGGATGGTCTTGATCTCCGGACCTCGTGATCCGCCCGCCTCGGCCTCCCAAAGTGCTGGGATTACAGGCGTGAGCCACCGCGTCCGGCCTCAACACATAAATTATTATCCTGAGAGTGAGACAAGCAGCAGAATTGTGTTCGTAACTTTAAAATATGTCAGTGCTGATAACGTAGCCACTGATGCTACCTAATTTTGCCAGTTTGGGATTTGAAAGAAGACATGATACAACATGATGTCCAACATGCTCATTTGAAAGGTCCAAAATTAAGCCAGCAGAGGAAGATAATTTGCCCAAAGGGATATCAAGATAGTACATGAAATGCAAATAAAACTCAAATATCCTTTCTCATAATCCAGAGCTCTTTCCATAAATTCATATTGCCTTTAAGTTAAAGTTATTCTGAGACTCTGACACAGTAGATAAAACATAGACCTACTAAATACAAACAAAGCCACAATCCATTATGAAAGTTTTCTTCTCCATGGTAGGACAGAGACTATTTCCAGACAAATTGAAGAATTTTCCTTCCTGAGCCGTCCTCTATGCTTAAAGGAGAGATAACAAGAGAAAAGAAAAATGTCTTGCTTTTTGAATTAGACAGAAAGGTAAAATTCCAAAGGGAGAATATTCTGCAGAAATGGAAGCTAGACACAAGGAATTTATATTGCATGGAGAGTAACTGCAATATAGTCATTCAACAAGACATGGTCCTTAACACTCTAAATTACAAAACCTCAAAATAATCCTGAAAAACGGGATCACAAAATATAAAATGACTTCAACTTCCAATTTTCTTGCCTAACATGATGGTTACTCCATTACCTCTCAGTGGTAGTTCACACACATACACACAAACACACACTACAATGTACTTACGGAACTGTAGAGATAGCCTTCACCATTCATGGCCACATAGAGACTAGCCTTCACTCCTTGGATGGCCACTACACGCAGGCCCACGGGAATTAGATTGAAGAGAGCTGGGGGGAGAAAAAGAAAGGAGGAAAGGATCAGTGACCTTTTGAATAAATAATCTTTTTTCTTATAATAATTCTTTTGAGAATTAAAACCTATTAATTGAACTTGGTAGAAAAATGGAGAGAGAAAGAAATAAAGAGAGGTCTAAAAATGAGGGAAATTGACTTCTTGACCCTGTGCCAGCATTAATTACCTATGTAACTTCAGGTAAGTTACATAAACTCTGTACAAAGGGGTTGGATTAGAAGGTCTCTAAAGGCCCAGCTGGATCTGAGATTTCAGGATTCCTGATCCTTAAAATTACCCTCAAACAGGGTAATATAAGGTAATTTTTTCTAACAAACAAATAATATGAACCGAAAAATTCTCAACAGGAGAAAATGTATCTGTAGTCATAAGAAATAACAAAATATTATCTTTACAACAGTCCAAAGCTTCTTGTTTTTAGTCTTTTCCTTGTTGTTCCAAACGTTATATTCAACACAGAAGAAGAATGCAAAAATTACTGACCTATTGGTGGTAACATTCAGACAAAACTTTTTTCTTGATATCTCAATTTTTTACATGTAAATAAAGAAAGATAAACAGATGGATAGATGATTGACAGATAGCTTAAGCTATAAAGGATATATTTTATATATTTATATCCAGGTGGGAAAAATACATGTATGTATGTGTATATACACACATATATACACATATATACACATATATATACACACACACACATATACCCAAAACCATTAAGAATTAATTTGACAAAAGTAATTCAACATCCTAAGATGAAATGGGAACATGCTTGCAGTCTTTACATATTCGAGTTGCTCATCACTCAAAGTACTCAATAGTCTATATGTCCACTTGGAGATGGAATTCATAGATCAGAAAAAAACATACCTAAGAGAACCTTCTATTTTTCTTCCAACAATGTATTTGTGTCCTTGGGAGAACTTCAGTTACTTTTGAGATCACAAAATGAGCATAAACAGAAAACACTGCCCCCACCCCGAAACAATTCACATTGCATATGGAAGAAAAGCAATCATACACTTAGGTTCTGTAGATGGCAACATGGATATGAATTAAGTATCTCATGGTTGTGTGCATACAAAAATATCTCTGCAGTTCATTTCAGTATCCTGGCTTCATTAGAAGTTCTCATCCACCTTTTCTATTGATAAAATTCCTCTCGGTTCTCGTCTTCTTCGTTTTTAATACAAGATACACATAAATTAACCCGAGGGCTACTGTTATTCAGGGATGCCTCTATTTTTCTGGGCTTCTCTCAACCTACAAATGTAAGCTAAACACACACACTCGCAGACACACACTCTCACAGTATTTGGCTTTCAGTCAATGTTCAATGGACAGGTGTAGAGGATCAAGCCTTAGACCACAGGTTTGGTAGAACAGGATTCCGTTCTTAGCTGTTGACATTGGATCAGTCTTTTTGCCTCTTTGAACCCATTTCCACATTTGTCATGAAAACTGAGACTAGATAAGAAACTATAAGTAGTTTCTCATAGATTAATTGTTGGCTCAATTTAGATTTGAACTGGTTTTATTTCTTGCTATATTCTTACCAGTGTCCTTGTGTTACTGAAACAACTTAAGAAACACAAGAACTAGACAAAGTCTAGTTGGGGAGAAAAAGCTAAGACATATGGAATAATATGATACAGTGTATAATTTACTTCTATAATTAAATATAATATATGCACTCTCTCTATATATATTCTCTATATTACAGAAGTTCAGGAAAATGGAAGCTCTGTGTGGCCTGAAGTATTCATGGAATGCCTTACACAGAAAATGGAACCTGAGTTGACACTTAAAGAAGCAGCAGAAGTTGAGAAAGCCAAGAACAGAAAACATGTTAGTGAGGCAGGAAGTTAGGTGGTTTTGCAGAGTAATGTGTGTATGCAGAAAGGGACTGGCAGATTGGAGGATCTGATTTATATTGGGGGGAAATGAGAAAGAACACCATGTAAATAAAATAAGGATAAATAACTGCGAGCCTGTCGCTCTAATCTTAGATATCTAGACTTTACCAAATGGGCAACAAGATGTGTGCCATATGAAAACTAGAGTAAAAACACAGATTATGAGTATGAGATTTGCAGACACACAGTTTCTAAACCCTCCACTAAGTTACATGGCTTTGAGCTATTCATTTAACTTCTCTGCCTTAGTTTTCCTATCTGTAAAATGCACATGATAATCCTTATTGCACAGAGTTGATAGAACCAAATGCATTGTCATGTTTCTGAAAGTGATTCACAGAGACATGTCCTCTCGAAGAGCTATTTGTCATGAACACCTAATTCTTCTGTTTGTCAGGTAAAGTTACCATAAGGCTACTGTAAAAACTGACATATTGCCTCAGTAATACTTTTTAGTTTATATTCAGCAGATTGTTTTAATGCTTTAAAATATAATACTTTATATTTGTGTAACAATTTTCAAAGTGCTGATATGTTCATTAATTATATTTGATCCTCAACCATAAATGCTGTGAAGAATTTAGGACAGAATGATTATCTTAATTTTTAGAAGTACAAAAAGATTTAGAGTTAACCCAGGGGAAAATGCATCTAAACTAAGGCTTTCAGGCTCTCTAATGGGGCTACCTGCTCGAAACATCATATTTCATCTTTTTGTTCTTTCTTTCTTTTTTTTTTTTTTGACAGAGTCTAGCTCTGTCACTCAGCTGGAGTGCAAGTGATTCTCCTGCCTCAGCCTCCCGAGTAGCTGGTATTACAGGCACCCACCACCACACCCAGCTAATTTTGTATTTTTTGTAGAGATGGGGTTTCACTGTGTTGGCCAGGCTGGTCTCAAACTCCTGATCTTGTGATCCACCTGTCTCGGCCTCCCCTTTTTGTTCTTTTAATTTCCTCTAATATCTGTTCTTACCTTCTTGCAAATAAACAGATTATTCAGCTACATCTTCTTACATATCCTGCAACCAGATGTAGGATGTAGGTCCTATGAACTCACTACTGGTCAATGAGATGTGAGTCATCACATCATTACAGGCTTGAGGAATCCTTCCTTACAGACAACTTATAGGTGTCCTTTGCACCCCTTCTCAACCTTTGCCTATTGCTGTTTGAATGGAGATATGGTAGCTGGATCATCTGAAACCACGAAAACAAGGACTACTCCCCAGCGGGTGTTGGCAGGTGAGCTGGAAGGAGATGGGTCCCTGAGAGCTTTGTGGAGCAGTGGCACAAGTCCAACATTCAATTACCCAGGTCTGGCTTTTATGGGAGAAAATAAGTCCTTGTTATTTTACTCTGTGCAATGCAGAGCCAACTCTAATCCTAACTGATAGAGATGTTAATGAAAGCAGAATTCATATGCAAGATATGAACTAGATGCAAGGTACTTCATTTTAAATAAAAGCAAATACTGGAAAATATTAAGTTCACTGACAATTACTGTGAGAAGGAGAAAAGACTTTCCAGGATAAATGCTAGGAACACTGGTTTACGTAGCTCACCACAGAAGGAAAAGCAACTATAAAATTTTTCCTACATGAAGAATGACAGCAAACTGATAACGCTAGGCAGGGACAAAAACAAGAAACCTGTTTGAAAGTTTTATATGAACCACAAGATGATAATGGCTTTTAGCTGGTTTGCTTTGTGAGACATACCAAGCCCATTTTTAAAAATCAGTAAATGATTTGAAATGCGACTTTATTGGTAAAAGCTAAACACGGTATCTCTGGAAACGTCCTCATCTGCCTCCTAAAAATCCCAAAAGGCGGCAAATGACTTACTCTTATCCATTAATTATCTTCTGGCTCCAGCTCACAGGAGCCCTTTGCTACTCCTTTCACTGCTCCTCAAAGCCACTGTCCTAACTCATAGTAACTGGGCTACTTGACTCCACCCACTCTTTAAGTCCCTTGCATCCTCTTATGCCATTTTCCTGCTTACAACCTGCAGTGATTCCTTTCCTCCCTGTCTCCAGTGTCCTTTACAACCTGGCTCCAACCCACATTTCCAGCTTATCACCTGTCACCCTTTCCATCTGCTGTAACCGGCTTCACAGAGCTTTTTGCCATTTCCTAAGTTCCCCCTCAATCTTTAACTAGGCTGGAGTTTGTCCTCTTTTGTCCTCTATCTCTTTTTGGAAAGCTTATCTTCCCACTTCTAAATTTGGCCAACTCTTTTCATCATTTAAGGCCTACCTTGTTGAACTCCCCCATGAGTCTTGCCCAAAGCCCTTCAGAAATAATACTTCCCTTTTCCAGATGGCTTATTTCTTGTGTATATTTTGGTAATGGTATTTAGAACATGGTTTTAGAGTTCTTTGTTTATATCTCTGTCTCTATCCCTACAATGCAAGATTCTTGAGGGTAGTTGCTGTAATGTCTAGCCCAGTTACAAGTACATAGCTTTATTAAATAAATGCTATTATATCGGTTATGATAAAAACACATCTTTCCAGGAATGTAGGTTTCCTTGTTACAATGAAAGTTCTTTTTAAGATAAAAATGAAATTAGAAACTTAAAGCATCTCAGCCTGATATTCAAGGTTAATCTACAACATGCATTTGTGCTACATGGCACTTTCACTTCAATACTGAGTGCTTCTAGTAATTTGCTCTTCCTCCTCCTACCTTCTAAACTCCATCTTTTTGCTAACTTAGTTCCCTCTGCTTGGAATGTCACTCTCCCTACATCTTCACACTGAAATCCCTGACATACTTGAAATGACACACCAAATGCCAAGTGCTTTCTTTCACTTCTTAGCTGCCCTATTCCTGGATCCAGACTATATTTATCACAATTTATAGTTTTATTCCTCTAAAAAATCTGTTTCCTCTCCCAACCACAACTAGATTGTAAGCTCTCCAAAACAAAACTCACATCGAAACTACACTTGTATAATACGAGGAAAGGAGGACACAGAGAGACACAGAAAGAGAACGAGAGAGAGAATACGCAGGGTAGTATATATTCTGTGTATATTAGCAATCCCAGTAAAC